GCACAAATATTGGGTTGAAGTACTTATTATCTGTGCGTAAACTAACCCTAATGTATTTGAATACATTGATATGACATCACGAACTATCATTACATTTCATCAAATAGCTGCGTGGATTAATTTTGAGTCAAAAGGGCACACGGGTGCAGGTATCACGCATATTGCATTAAGAACACTGCCACTCTTCAGAAGATTGTGATATAGAGTCCGTGTTTCTGGAACGGTGGGTGGTGTGTCAAATGGCAGCGTGGGATCGCTCACACCCACGCGCCAAAGACCTCGCAGGCTCGTGCGCACCAGAAGTTTAAGTGTCAATTCACACTGACGGCGTTAAGACCAAATCACTCTCAAGTGTTTCACGGGGAACTTCCACGTTACGGGTGCCACAATTGGGGCAGTTCGTAGTGAATATGAAATATCACATTCTCTGAACACTTTTCTTCGTCACAAAAAAGAAAAAAATGAGTAAATCCCAACCCCAAGAATATACTGTATGGAAACAGAAGAAAACGATGGTCATCTAAATAATTACAGATGCCTTTGCAATTTGTCACAAGTCAACAATTGCTATGTTGATAACATCCAACCATGCATCCATCATCGAATCACTCCAAGGGAGAAATTAGGGCGTTCCATTAACCTCCTATCCATGGAATGTGGGAGGAAAATGGAGTACCCGGGGAAAACCCACGCAAGTATGGGGAGAACATGCAAACAGGAAGGATTCAAACCCTGGACCTCTGTAGACTGAGGCGGACGTACTCACCAGTTGCCCATTGTGCCACCATTGATAACAACATACCCCAAAATAGAAATTCATGCTGCTGATTTTGTCAACCGTATTCTCAACAGCATGAGCATGAAAACCATAATACACTGTTCAAATCACAGTAGAAATGTCTGAAATGAAATACCATACAGTGCTGTTAAGTAGTGTTTGCCCCCTTCGTGATTTCTGTGTTCTTTGCATATTTATCACAGACAAAAGGTTTCAGTTCACCAAAACCAATTTTAATATCACACAGAGACTACCCAAGTAAATTCAAAATGTAGGTTCTAAATTCTGATTTAATTTTTTCGGTACACCAAAAAATCAAAAACTTCTAACAAGTCTGTATGTTAAAAAGTACAAAACCATTATGTCTTGCTCTTTTAAGTTTCTTCCAAGGCAGAGGGGATGTATTTCCTTTTTCCCCCTCCAAAATAAGACAACTAAAGTGATGACCCGTGCCCTAATTTTTTGCCATGGGTTGTCGAGTCATCCTGCATGTTAATAAACCATTTTTATTTTTAAAGAGGAGTATAGAACAGGTATTTATTTGTTTTTCTCTTGGAAGTTGGGGTCCCACTCCCCGCACCATCATTGTACACTGAATATCATTCGGTATTGGAAGGATTTTGAAGAGATGCAGACTCAATACGTGTTTATCCTTTCCTCAAACCATATTAAAATTCACAGGTGCATTGGTAATGTGTCTAATCGTCACCAGACAAGTCATCAAGACAAGCTATTGAAACAGTTTCATGAAAAAGAAAATGTTTATTATTAGTTACAAACAGAGGAGTCGCAATGCTTGCGTTGCATTTAAACGACAGAGATGCGGGTCAATTTTCAATCCCATCTTCTGAGCTGTTAGGATATGATTATGTCTCTGTGAAGTATGCGCGTGCGTACTGATGAATCGAAATTCTTCACGTGGTCAGACTTTCCCGACAGCGAGGCCTTGCGCTTTCTGAAACTCCTGCTGTAAACTGGACAAAAGCTGTCGGTGCTGGTCAGACTTCTTCTCCAAGTCTTTCAGGAGTGTGTCATACCGCTGACTGTAACAAGGGACGGAGATATAAAAATAAAAAAAACAAAAATGGAAGCAACATTTCAAGTCTATTCTCTATTCGACTGAAAACATCTTCAAGACCATAGAACTTGAGCACCATGCTCACTTTTCGAGTCAATCACATTTCATAAAAATGTGATTTGGACCAAGTCTTCCTTTTATGAATCAAATATTGGACATTCTGACACTTCCAAACATTGACTTTTCAGGAGTGGGAAAAATCTTGCCTATTGATGGTGTGAAATCCCCCAAAAAGCACATGTTGCCTTGTTAGGTGCTGCAATTATGTTTCTCACTCTTTAACTGTTGATGCGGACTAAGAGAAAAAGTGTCAACTCTGAAGTGCAAACCAAAGATACCTTCTACTGGACTACAAACCAAACTACATCTAACAGTTTTGTGCTTTCTTTGTCTTAATAAAATTTAGATTCCAGAGTCCAGTGTGAAAATGGTGTCAAACATATGGGAATGACTTGCTAATGGGAGGAGTTAAGAGTCAACTCCTACTTCACTGACCACTTGAATGACATCAGCTATTTACATTTTCACATTTTTGTTTCTACATATGACATGCACACTGAAATCCAAACGGGAGTGCGGATACACATGCAAAGGATCTAGGGCACATGGTTAAAAAGTGAATATACCACTGTATGAATGGCTTAACTGAGCAAGATATTATATGGGCACGTGATTAGTAAATTTATATAGCTTTATCCTGGCTCTTCCCTGTGGGAGCTGTGATATAAAAGTGCCTCTTTTTTTTTTTTGGTTGATTAAATTTTGAAACAAATTGCTGGGTCACACTGTATTTCTGTGCCAGGCTATAAAGTAAGAACAATATCGCTTTGGCGCCATCTGGTGGAATCATGGGGTCAAGGAGGGACAGTTTGTTGACATGAATCGAGCCGTACGCGTGCGCACGCACACGCACACGCACACACACACACACACACACACACACACACACACACACACATTCATTTTTTAGACCATCCATCCATCAATTTATCCTCACAAGGGTCACGGGGAGTGCTGGAGCTTATCCCAGCCGTCTTCGGGCAGTAGGCGGGGTACACCCTGAACCGATTGCCAGCCAATCACAGGGCACACAGAGACAAACAACCATCCACGCTCACACACAAACCTACAGACAATTTAGAGTGATCAAACAGCCTGCCATGCATGTTTTTGGAATGTGGGAGGAAACCGGAGTAGCCAGCGGCACGGGGAGAACATGCAAACTGCACACAGGAAGGCCGGAGCTGGAATCGAACCTGATACCTCTGCAATGTGAGGTCGACGTGCTCACCACTCAATCACCAGGCCGCCCTCATTTAGACCAGTGCTTCTCAATTATTTTGTTACAAACGACCGAAGAAGAGGAAGCAAACTTTTGAGGGGCCTGAATTACGAGTGGATTTTCAATACAACACTGTTCACTGTACTTATAGTCTTGTTGATACAGTTATAACCATGTGGTTTTGTATCATACTATACTGTATCATTTAGACCCAAAAGGCCCCCAAAGTTGTGTTACCAGTTGGGGTCTGGGAATTTAAATGAAAGATTACTTTGAAACCCCAGATTCACTTTTTGAGTCACACTTATATTTCTAAACAGTTGTTGAAAAGATGGAAGTCTGCTTTCCACCTCTTGCCGAGATGCCTGCAAACGAGGCAATGAACCGTCTGAGAGGTGGGACATCTCTTGTATTCCTGCATTTGTGCAGCATGTAACAAAAACTCACAGCAGAGCGTGCATTACATCCAATTCCCGGTGTTTTTTTATACATACAAATAAAAACAGAATCAGATAGAGTAGCACAGGTTTATCAGTTGCCACTTCATGCCCACAAATCAACTAGAGTTGGCTCCAGCTCACCAGTGACCCTAATGAGAACAAGCACTACACGAAAATGGATGGATGGAGAAAACAAAAACATGGGTGGACCAGAAAAAAAGCTGACAGAACTCAAACGGAGTGACTCACATTTCTCCATTGATGTATTCCAGTCTTTTTGTCACAGTCGCTTTTGCCTCGTCCAAGTCTTGTTTTACCAAAACAGGGCCAATCAATTTGTACACCGTATTTGCACTGTCTAATATATCCAGCTCCTAGAAAGAAAAAAAAGTGCAGCCATGTTATTGCGCCGAATTATTAATCACGTGCGGTGTGCTATATGGGAAATGTACCTCTTTTACGATATTGTTCTCAGCTAGCTGCGTCTCCAGCTTCTGTCGTGCTGACATGCTCTTGCTAACATCTAAGTAGCACAGACAATCGGTAGTAAGACAATTAAGTTAGCACTTTAGTAATCGAAAAACATAAATATACAAAATCCAGACTGCGTCGAATACGCGACTCCCCATATATGGAAACCTAGCAAGTCATCATACCCCCAAACCTTGCAACACCACATAAAGCACGTACCTTTTTGCATCTGAGTATATTTTTCTAACTCAGTATTCAACTTCTTTTGAATGGCCTCCGCCATGTTGACTTCTACTGAAATAACTACAAATGGTCAGTTCGTTAAGTGAATATTTACAACGACGGATTGACTTGCTGAATGTGGACCTGAGGACTGGAAAGGAGGGTGATGGCTCGTGCCGGATATTCTTCGTCTTCTTTGGTAGTTATTGATGCTTGGCAACCATCTATTACGCACGTTACCGCCATCTACTGACCTGCAGCGGGGAACACGAGCAAAACAAGCAAACAAATTAAGATTCGACCTTGAAAAATAACAGTCATTGATATAAATTATTGGATTTCGTTGTTTTACATAATTGCTAGAACAGAAGTTAACATCAATAACACTTCATCAAAATATTTCCCTTTTGATCAATGCTTCTCAAAGTGTGGTACAGACAGTACATGTCCAGCTCCTCTAGTGGTCGGCGAAAGAATCACTTCCTAAGTACAATTCAGTGTAACTTCAAAGTTCAATGCATTCGCAATTAATCTTTAAGAATTGCTTTTAAACATTTATGTAGCTGAAATATGTGTTTAATTGTGTGCACAACATATTAAAATTGAATCATAGTTTTTCTAAGTTCAGATTTGTTTTTAACTTGACCACAGTTCGGCGCAGCGTTAATGCTGAAACTGTGCGTAATGTTACATTGCGTCCATACGGGTGCGATGTTTTTCTTTTGTCTACTTTTTACGACACGTTTCACTTTACGGCACTGCACAGGGTTTTCCTGTTGAAAATGGCTTCGTCGTTTTGGAAAGGTGTCGTCGGCGTTGGACTTTTTGCCTTAGCACACGCAGCTTTCTCAGCGGCACAACGTGAGTTTATATGCGTGGAATGGATGCATGGGTGTCGGTACAGTTGTCTTTCGGGAGAGGGGCTCGGATGGCATTGATGCATTTAGCCGCTCGTGAGGCCTTGTGCGGTGACGTCTAGCTTGCAAGATGCTAACTCAGCTCACGCGGGAATGATACCCTTGGATCTTAAATCACAATCTTTCCAAATGACACTTGTGCAGATGTTTTTTAAATTTAAAATTTGCCTCGGTATCATGCTGACTTGGGTGTCACTTCATCTTCTCCCACAGATCGATCTTACATGCGACTAACAGAGAAGGAAAACGAAACTCTGCCAATCGACGTGAGTCTCATTCATTTCTCCCACGTTTAAGATTCTCGTTGCACAACAGGAGATGTTTTGACACGGCGACTTTTTGTTGGAGTTGCAGATTGTGCTCCAGACATTACTGTCATTCGTCATGACCTGCTACGGCATTGTCCATATCGCTGGGGAGTTTAAAGACATGGATGCCTCCTCAGAGCTCAAGAACAAGTAGGTTGCTGGATACACCTGAAAATGAGTCTGTCTGTGCAGACTTTAATACACATGCTGTCCATAAAGATTCTTTACACTTTAACACATTTATTCCAAAAGCAGATTAATCGACAAATCTGTGGAAACAAGTATAAAATGAGTAGAAGATGTAGTTTTTTTGGTCTCATTTAATACAGCTCTTAAAGCGCTCCTTTACTTCTCCTTTTATCCAACACCAACCTGTCCTCATACATTTCTTGTGCCGTATACAAGTTGACAGATATGACAGTGTTTGTCTTTCATACTTAATCTTGTAGTTGCATTGACTGTCTATGCGATTTTAGTTTGCAGGCCACAATCAACCCAGTTTGATTTCAAGTGGGCAAGACCATTATATTTGTGGCCTAATGAGTTAGATTACGACAACATTTTGCCAATGTTTTGGTGCAAATAATTCTATGTGCATTCTGAAAATACAGTATTCACATTTTTTGACGATTAACTTTTTCCAAATTATGAACCATTTGAAATATCCTAACAGAAACGAGTGCAACAATTGGATAAACATGAATTCAGCAATATTCTGTTCTTAAAATATTTCTCAAGTGGGTGTTCAACTTAATTCTTCACAGAACAAAGTTGGCACAACATTTGATCTAAAATGGCTTACTTTACATTGAAATGAGTTTTGTTTTTGTCTAATCTTTGTGTTAAACTGTCATTTCAGTTCTTATTAGTTTTAGTCATGTGCATACTCTTTTTGGTCTCGTCAAGTTTTAGTCAACTAAAAATCTGAGCATTTTAGTCTTATTCTTATTTTAGTCAGAATTGTCTATGGCTATTTCAGTCTAGTTTTATTTGATGAAAAATGCTGACATTTTAGTCTAGTTTGAGTCAAAGATAATTGATCACCCGGAGTGGGAGAAAATCCAGGATATAGCGAGAGCAAATAAAAACACATGTGAAAAACAGTTTCTCTCCTCCCCCAGGCTTATTTAAAGCTGTTCTCACGGTTCTTGCTTGCAGTTTTCCAAATAAGAGGTGCGCTTGTATTAAAGCAGCATGTGTATTAAAGCTGCTAATTTGCCCCTCCCAGTCGGTTTGCCGTCAAACTGGCACAGTCAATTCAACTTAAACACCTCATATTGACACATCAAAATGTTGAACCAAACCATATAATTGCATCAAACAAAAGTCCACTAGCTTCACGCTAACCTGTGTGGTAACGGAAATTATCATGGCTGTTACCTGATGTGGGCACTTGGCAAAATGTTGCCCATCCGTCATCGTCAGTCCATCATTTTTTCCCCAAACCAAACTGGACTCATCAGTAGGTCAGCCCATCATGTTATTTTGACTGCGCTTCCATCATTGCTTCCGTCAGTAAAAAAAAAAAAATAAATAATAAAGTCATACATCGTCAACCAGATGAAAAAATGTGATTTCAAATGGTAAATGGCGTACACTTATCTATCAGTGTATCAACATCATCCGTTGTCTGCCCAAAGACTGCACATCAAAGTCGCGTGTTTCCAGCTGTTTACAAGCTTTATCAACAACAAAACGAGCTGGGCTTAGATGCCACAATATAGTGGGGGGAGTCCTCAATTTTAAAACATCAAAGATGTATTTCAGCTGCACATTTATGGGGCTACTGTACGACAAAAAAGTTGGTGTGTGTGTGCATGTGTGTGTTTCAGTTTTATTGTGGCTAAATGCCATTTTTTTCCTTGGACAGAACGTTTGACACACTGAGGAATCATCCATCTTTTTACCTTTTCAACCACCGAGGACGAGTGCTGTTCCGCACTGCCGAGGAAGAGCCATCCTCTCAGCAAGCGCTTCCAAATCCGTTACGGCTCCGCAAGCTGGAGTATTTGCACTGAGACTGGCCTTTTCCCTGCCTGTGAAATTACTCATGTTGGTTCGGATTTTTTTTTTGTTGTTGTCATTAGACGGAAGGGGCAGAGTCACGACTCACCATCCCCTATTTTTTTGATCATGCATTTGTACATAAAGTATCAGTCATGCTGTACAAACGTGCACCTCTTTTCACTGAAGTAGTCGCTTCCACCAGTGTGCCAACCCTTCAGTTGATTTGTATATACAGTATGGAAATGCTTTGGAGTCTTGCATACAGAGGCATCTTAGCCATTTGTGTCCCCCACGACACGACCTGGGATATTTCTCTCCTTTGCACTGAATATTCTCTGTATGAAGGGTAAATAAAAGAAGCCGTTTCATTTCATCCATTTTTCATTGTCTTAGGCCAGGGCAGCCTTTAGTTTCAACATTTAGTTTTTAAGTTTAGCTCCCTGAAGCAGAAGGTTCCTGTTAGATTTGTGTGGACCGGACATGGGGGGCGCTGGGGGGGGGGGGGTTGACTCATCCCTCTTGACTTGGAAGAGAAATGATTGGTACATCTGTTTTCATTGACATTTTATTAATATATAATTTAATAAAAGCAACCGAATTTTACTCGATGTTTGAATTTCATGTGGTTTCCATTTAGACTTGGCATTTCAAATCAGCTCCGCTATCATTCTAAATGAACGCTTCGAGGAAAACAACAGACTTAGTTTTGGTGGATAAAAAAAAAAAGTTCTACGGTCGACTTTTGTTTCGGACACTAACTGCCCTCATATCTTCCCTCTCGACATCTTGTCACCTTCTCTTCTGTTTTCCTCCACTTGCCTGGCAGCTCCATTCTCATCCTTCTACCAATGTGACCACCATCCAAGTTGGTTCTCTGTGTCCAAATTCACAGCGTGCTTCCTCCAAAAGCCGCATTTTTCTTCCACATGATGTCACTTCTGGCGTGACTCAACCACATGTGGTTTACAAATTCTAGAAAGACAATTTGCAGGCTGGGACTTTTTATGCCTTCATGGACCGCATAAACCGCGGTGAATTTGGACACCAGGCACAGTCAAGTTGCGCCAGAGGTCGACGTCATGCGAACTTCGGAGGACCCAGCCTGTGAATTTGGACACAGCCACAGACTGCCCCCAAAACATCTTCACCTTGGCTGTCCCACTCATTTCTAATCTTATCCGACTTGGTCACTCCTAAATGTCACAGCCCCTCCTGCTGGGGCGGATTTCTCAAGCAGGCAGGGGAGGGTCCTCGGCTGGCTCAACCAGTCTTTAGGTGTGCTCCTCAATCCCTTGCTGGCCCTCTGCCCTCAAGTAACACTCCTTTGTTTGTTTCATTCACACATTACGCACGTACACCTACATTCATCCATGCACTTTGCGAGCACTTACAGCATGATACTGTATTTACGGGGCCCGCGACCCTCGTGAGGATAAGCGAATTAGAAAATGGATGCAAGTATTTACATGCTCACATTCCATATTCCTTTTTATTGTTTGAAGTTTTTTATTGGTAACAGTAAATTATTCAATTGGCTAACGTTGTCTGCCTCGCCTAATTTTTTCCCACAGGCTTTGAGCTAACTTGTGACATCAAAAACAAACAAAAAAAAGGAACATGGTAATTTGTCTATGAATGCCCTGCGGTTGGCTGGCAACCAGCAGAACAGGACGGTCTAAAGTTTTTCATTTGAGGGCCGCATACAGAAAAACGGAAGAATGACAGGGCCACTTTTAAAATTGGTCAACTTTTTGAAGCACACTGAAGTCAAGAAAGCAATTATCTATTGTTTGTATTGTCTAGTATATTTCATCAGCTTTCTGTCAAAGGTATTAAGGAAAATAGCTGATAATTTTTTCCAACTTTTGGGGGGTGGCCAACAGCCATTTATCTCACAGAATAGATCCAGCTCTGCACTGAACCGCAGCCAAATCCCATTTCCACATTCTGGATCACACTAGTCACCTCTTCTACTCTTCCTTTTATCCTTATTTTTCATCAGTCATCACCTCCTTCATGTATTCTCTCCATCCATCCATGGGTGACTCTTGAGAGGAGCTATAGCGGGCAAAGTGTGAGTGTTAAATTGAAACACCAGAGACAGTGTAGGAGGAAGCTGGAGTACCTGGAGAAAAGCCTCAAAAGCCCAATGGAGAACAGGCAAACTCCACACAGGAAGCAGTGACTGGAATTGAGAATTCCTCCCCTGTGAGATGGACATGCTAACCACAACTTCACATGTTGTCTTTACAGTCGTTGTCAATTCCCTTGATGAGAGGAAAGGGACGTGGAACATGACTAGATATATTATAATACACTATTTAGATACTATATGAACTAAATGTAATGCAACGTGTGTAAAAATAACCTGTGTTTTATGGGTGCGTGACGCATCAGATACTATGGCACATTTTAAGGATTCAATGTATTCTCTATGTAGTGGAATGACTTCGGGTTCAAGCCAACATTTTATTCCAATTAGTGCTTTTAGCTGGATGGAGCATTTTCGTTAAGGAATTCAACCACAGTGACAGGGAGCAAGTTGTCATTGTTTGGTCTTGCAGGCTATGAATATTTGCAGTGATATTTAGCTAGTGAGCCAGAGCCATTCCTTATCAGAAAAGTTTCTGGTACATAAAGTAGCCCCCCCCCCCCTCGAACCTTACTTGTTTTAATCCACACTGGTCTAAAAATATTTCTTCAAACCAGAAAAAAGTTTTTTTTTTTTTTTTGGATAAATATATTTGTATTTTTTATTAGAAACCTCCTTAATTTTTCTCAAGCAGTCAAAATACGCACACAGGTAGACATGCACACTTCTTTGAAACCATTTTAGAGCTGGTTTATTTGTTTTGTACAAAAATTCAATAAAACTCTAAGTTTACAAAATTGCCTTTCAAAATAGTTGTCTTCCTCTGAAATGAACAAATTCACAAAAATAATCAGTCTGCTTATGAACATGAAACAGTAGTGTACATTGGTCATGAAAACAAAGGAGGGTGTTGTTACGTCATCACTGCAGCAGATGTAACCGTCAGCCGAGGCCGCACAGATGCACAAATTCCTTCAAATGACGCTGTCACAATGCCAATCAGTGGAGACATAGTCGTGGGGGAAGAAGTGTGCACTCGCGACTTGGCACATGTTTTAGGGACTTACAATGGCAGATGGGATTTTTTAGGTCAGTGGTTACGGTTATGTTCAATTTCCTTGAAATCTGCGTAATCTCCCAGAGAGCGACACTGTAAAACGTGTGCCTGTGTGCTCTCGATGGACACAGACAGCTGTAAGAAAACATTTTGTGACTGCAAAGGAGGGGGGGACTTCTCTGCATTCCATCACCATCCATCCTCTAACACTGATATATTGTCACTTTCGAACATCTGTGTCCATCATTTCCAAGCTGTCAAAACACTATTGCATGTCGTTTGATTGCAGCACGTCAAATGAGGACAAAAATATCCCCAGTTGGGGTGTTTGTAAATCTCCTTAGGATGTTTTTTTAATACATTTGTGAGATTGTGTCGTCATGTCAGGATGTTGAGCTTCTTTGAACTTCTAGTCGAGAAGAACCAAACAGAAATAATTGCAAATGAACTAATCTTGTACAATCAGAGCACAATCAGTCTGAAGTTACTAAATGTCATCTCACGATGTGGAATGAGGAAAAAAATATGTATAAAATGCAGTTTCCAGCACTATAATGTTTGCAATTTTAATTGTTGACCAAAACTGCCCAAAAAGTGACAAAAGTTTTGCAAAAACAATTACAAAGTTTTACGGATAAAAACTGCTCTGACCCGATTCCAGGGGTGCAATACTACATTTGCAATACAAGTACAATGTTTGAAAAGCCAGAACTAACGAATAAATTTGAGTTCTGATTTTATTGCTTGGCGGCCACATAAAACCAAAGATTAAAATAACACCATCCTTCGTATAATATGGTCAAGGTTGTCTTACGGTCTTGCTTCCTGCACTGAACTGAATGTTTTCAGATGACTGAGCTGCTTAGTAAGTGATTTTTAGAGGACACTTCATAGCTAAGAAGGACTGACCCAAATCTCGTTAAAAACCGACAGAGTGAGTTAAAATCAGCCAAGCCAGAAAGTGTGCTGAAAATAAACCGAAAGGACCGGAATGCAGTTGCAACAGGACATTAGACAGCTATGTGTTGAGTCATTGTGCCCAAAGGTTGCACAATAGACATTTTTGGGTGGTGATGTTTTTTACATTACATAAAACATTCCAATTGTGCAAAGGTATTTCATTTGCATTGACCTTAATGCAGAGATAATTGAAATTCAATGGGACAATAATCCTGACCTCGGCAGTACCTTTGACTTCGGACAGTAGGCGGGGGACATCCTGACTCGGTTGCCAGCAAATTGCAGGGCGCACAGAGATGAACAACCATTCGCGCTCGCACTCACACCTAGGGACGATTTTGAGTGTTCCATTAACCTGCCATGCATGTTTTTGGAATGTGGGATGAAACCGGAGTAGCCGGAGAAAACCCACGCAGGCATGGGAAGAACATGCAAACTCCACACGGGGAGGCTCGAGCCGGAATCGAACCCGGCACCTCTGCACTGTGAGGTCGACGTGCTAACCACTTGACCAATGGGCCCCATTCTCTCTCTCTCTCTCTCTCTCTCTCTCTCTCTCTCTCTCTCTCTCTATATATATATATATATATATATACACACACACACGCACGCACGCACGCACGCACACACACACACACACACACACACACACACACACACACTATATTGCTTTCACATCAAAGAATTGCAGATGCACACATATCAGGAACAGAGATGGGGAAAGAGCAGTCGTGGCAGTGGCAATAGGAGCTCATGCGCTACTGTTTTCAAAACAGCGCTTTGAGCTTCAGAAGCACGCTTCAGACCAGCTGAAGAAAGCTCTGCGCCGCCATTTGAGGACGTTTTATGGCTTATTGTGTGTATGGCGGAGTGTTTGTCGACTGGATGATTGTGGATGTCATCTGTCAGTATGAAGAGGATTATATTCATAAAGTCGCTCAACTTATCCCCAATGAATCTGTCGTGCAGATAAGCCAACAGGACGTGACGTAACATCATGTGGACCGTTCTCATCGAAGTGCTTTTGTCCTATGCTTGTCCTTTTTTGGCCTCTCACTCTTGTGTTGTCCATGGCGACACACAGCGCAGCTGACGTTCCTTAACTGCCAGGATCACTGGGGGGCTGTGACGGTGTCCCATGCTTTTCGTCCAGCTTGACGAGGGTCAGCTCTAACTGCTGGATCAGCATCCGCTTCTTGAACCTGGATGAGATTGGTAAGAGAGAGGGGAGATGGATGAAACTCCGATGGACACATCAAAGGCGGCTTGATGCACGTACGGCAAAACGTTCAAAAATTATTCAACATTGTTGATCGTCAGCGTGAGGTCCGTGAAGCAGTATGCTTTCTGTCCTCACTAGTAAGACAATAAAAGATACGAGTAAAATGACAGGTGCATTAGTAGTAACTAGTGAGGCAAAAGTGAGAACTAGTTGACAACTGCATGTTAGTCGTTCTAGTAATGAGTCATATTCTAACAGTCTCCCAGTCAACATCTAGCACTTCATTAGTAGCATAAGTGTGTACACTCTCTTTGAACGGGGGATGTGGTTGTGTTTAGAATTAACCAATCACATTCAAATTTATCTGAACAGGGAGTTAGCACACACCTTTGGATGCCGAATACATTCAAGAAAGGCTGATTGATTATAAACCCAGCAGGGCTCTGAGGTCTGCAGCCTTGGGTGAGTTAGTGGAGCCCACCACAGTTCAATGCAAACATGGTGAAGCAGCATTGAGCTGTCATGCCGCACGCAAAAATAAGCTTCCAACAGAAGTAAAGTGAAGGACTCTAATCCTTTGTTTGAGGTATTTTAAACATCAATTTCACAGTGTGACCTTTCAGTAATTTTGGAAACCTCTACTTTTGTTTCTTTACATTTAGATTTTTTTAAGGTCTATCGTTAGTGTATTTAAATGTTGTCAATGTGCATTCCTTTCGTCAATTTGGTCAAGTATATTTGGTTTTCTCCATGTGTATTTGAATGTACATGCGTGTTTTGAGGCAACAGTGCAAGAGGAGCAATGCGCTGCTCAACGATTTCTTACCTGGAGGCCTCTTTAATGGCATGTTGGATAAAGTAACGCTGGACATTGACCGGCCCTTTGACCTGCTGCAATAGTTCTAGTATTGCCTCAAAGTCTGGTGACGGGAACAAAGACAAGAATCAAAGTTGAGTCAAACAGCAAATAATGTCTCAAGTCACAGTGATGGTCAGTTGAGACCTTTCGGAAAATGTGCCGCCTTACTTTGTCAAAAAAGCCAGAAAAACGGACAATGCATTGTTTGTGATTTGCTCTAAAGCAGTAGTTCTCAACCTGGGTTCGATTGAACCCCAGGGGTTCGGGGAATCGGTCTCAGGGGTTCGACGGAACCTTTGCCTTGGAGGTTAAGACACACCCGACTCAATATATAATTCAGTTATGACACTGCGGCAGATGATCACATAACATCGATCACATTACATCGCTTGTCCAATCAGTGCTGCGGGAAATGTTGTTCGCTCAACGAGTGACTGTCGTGATAGTACGTCGTGTGATTTTCTTTTTTTTTAGAATTGTTTTAATACATGCTAACTATGTCGCGCAAAAAAAAAAAGCGGTCGGATGAATATTTACAACATGGATTCACATGCATCACGTAAAATGATGGGAGTCTGTGTCCTATCTGCATGATTTGTCATGCCAAGTTGAGCAACTCAAAACTGAAGGAGCACTTCTTGAATCATATTTTTATTTTTCACTAATCAAGGGTTCGGTGAATGTGCATATGAACTGGTTGGGTTCGGTACCTCTAACAAGGTTAAGAACCACTGCTCTAAAGTGAAAATATTACTCGAGTGGGCTACAGTATTGTCATATTGTGTTCAGCAGAACGGGTCAGTTTTTGCAAGCTATAGTTGACTGGTTCTGACTCACTTCGGCCAGGTTTGCGGACCTCCTTGATGACCCGCGTTCGCAGTTCTGCTTGGCTGCCATCTAGTGGCGGTATGAATATGGTCTCCAGAACTGCTGGCTCAGTAACTACGCTCTCTAACTGGCTCTGTGGACTCAGCCGCTCACAGTTGTATCTCTCCTCAAGTGACTGCTCCTCTTGACCGTCCTGGATCACTGGTTTCTCCTTGGTCATGTTAACCTCCTCCCTCTGATCCACTCTTTCTAGCGTGGCTTTTCCCTCCAAGCTGAGCGAAGGTTGGGTTCCTGTCACAGGGTCCTCCTCACTGGGCCAAATGTCCCCGGACTCAGGCCCGGGAATGACATCACCATTACTCTCCGTGACCACCACATTGCCATCCAGCCCTGAAGAGAATAGTCATACAATATGTTTATTTGTCTTTTGAAATGCATGAAGTCGATATGACTTCCCAATGGTAATTGCCCATCATCGACCTTTTTAATGGTTTCTGGCGTGCCGGCACAGCACAGCCATCAATTGTGGAAGTACACAAACAAGTAAATCTTTTGTTGTCTTTCTATTTACAAAAATGTGTCTGTAAGCGAGTCATTCTGAGTTTTGTCTGATTGGGGAATGACAGTGTGTCTGATTTCCAAGATATCGCCCTGGGGCTGAGTTCCTCTATCAACGGCTTGGCCTCTCGGCCTTGTACCGAGTCCGCAAGTGAAAGTACAAATTCAGCTCATCTTTTTGACACGATCACCACTGAAGTCGTACCTTTGTGCTGTGGTATGACTTTCAGGAGATTCGGTTGCCCTTGACCTCCAACTGGACTCTTTCCAATCAGAATGTGGTTGGTGTTGACTGGTGCAGTCTGGGGCCGTCGTAGCAACGGTGACATGCTCCGCCTTCTCTTCAGAGTGGCACCTGCATTTGCGTCACTGGAATTTGCCCTTTTCTTGTTTTGAGGGCCCAAGACAAACTCATCGGCCTCGTCGATCATCATTCCCTGGGAAAACACATGGGGCTAAATACTTGAACTGGCTGGCAAGAATACAGAAAAACACAGACATCTGCCAAGTCTTGATTACATCAAGTGGAATGAGTGCACATCTATGACCCAGCACAAACATCATCCTGAATCGCAAAAATTACATCTGGGAACCAGGAAACAAAATGTAACTGGAGCCTACAGTCAAACCAGTTTTAGCAAACCAGATTTTTCATGTTACAAACCCAAATGCAATGAAGTTGGGATGTTGTGTTAAACATAAATGTAAATAGAATACAATAGTTTACAAATCACGTGCAACCTATATTTAATTGAATACACTACAAAAACAAAATATTTAATGTTTACACCGATACACTTTATTCTTTTAGCAAATAATTATTAACTTTGAATTTTATGGCTGCAGCAAGTTCCAAACAAGCTGGGACAGCGTCATTATCACTGTGTTACATCACCTTTTCTTTCAATAACATTCAATAAACGTTTGGGAACTGAGGACACTAATTGTTGAAGCTTTCCAAAACAATTTGAAACGTGGACTCGTCAGACCACAGAACACCCCCCGGCCCCCATAAATCTTGCACAGTACTTGTCCTCATCAGGGTCTGGGATGAGTTCCCAGCGGACTTTTGATTGAGAGGTGGGTTACATCCTGGACTGGTCACCACCATCACATTCAGACAGTGTGTGAATTTTGACCAGTTTCTCTTTAATGAATGTGCGGAACCTCACAAAGTTTTGATTAGGAAATCTTTGAAAAGCCTACAAAATCTAGGTTCATATCGCCACCGTATCCTCAGGTGTGTGCGTGAGCTGCATCCTAACCGCGATGACTCTGGGCGAGAGGCGGAGTAGAGCCTGGACCGGTCGCCGGCCGATTGCAGGGTACCAAACAGTGTATGCCCATGTTTTGTTACTACCTTCTTATCCTGCTTGAAAGGATTCCCGAAGGTGTGCAATCGTTTCGGTTGATCGGGGTCAATTTCTCTCAGAGGAGACGGCATCATCTTCAGGTACTCCTGGTAGTTTCCCATCTGAGCCACTGGGATACTGTGCAGGTAATCTAACAAGCACAGTACATTCTAACTCATTAGGTTCCGTAGGGTTTGTGAAAGTGTTATAAGGAAAACGGTTTCTAAAATGCGATGCAACATACCTTCATCCTGCCCTCTGATTAGTTTTTGGGAGGTCCGCAGTAAATTCGACCGCATTCGAGTGAGCTGATCCAGAAGATTCCGTCTGGGAATGTCGTAGGCGTTTCGATAAGCTTGAGGCTTTACATCCTGGAAAGTAGACACGTTTCATTATTCCACACAAGTAAAACAAGTATTTAATGCAGGTACATGTTGTCCTCCACCTGCCTTGTTGAGCAGGGCGATTTGGAATCCAGAAAACTCCTTTAAGTTGATGTCCACCATACGAAGTGGACCCTCCCCAGTGATTCCATGTAGTAGCTGCTTAAAATCTCGCCGGTGGGCCAGAGACAATGAGCTGGAGTGGTTCTTCACCCTTATGCCAGTTTCCTGGGGTGCCTTCTTCCCCACAGATACGATGAAGCGCTCAGATTCGATCTTTGCCTTGATGAAAGACGGAAAAGCTTCATTTAACGGGGTGGTATTCAGAAACCAAATGTGCTGTCATTGATAACACTCGTCCGCATCAAATAAAAATTGCATGAACACAGCCTGTGTTCCCCGCAGATTTGACCTGTGACATATTTTTGAACCAACCCACATCCACGGTTATGTGCTGAAAAACTCAGGCTAAAGCCAGGCCTGAAATAAAAGTAAGGCTTTAACGTATCCTCGAGTTTATCGATTCCAAAAAATGCTTGAGCCATTTTTTCTTTTGGCTTGAGGACCCACTTATTTACAAGTACATTGTCAGGAAGAAAAAGTCAAACTAACTGCAGAAACAAGTATTCATGTGGTGGCATTATGGAGAAATTGCTGCGTTTGTAGCTAAATGCTACAAATGTATTTCCGAGTACGTTCGAACGCCTTTGTGAGTATGTTTGAACACTATTTAAATCTGTTCTAATGTATTTGTGAGGACGTTTAACGTCTTTGTCGCTCAGAATATTTTTACTCCTCATTGGTAGCTCCACACGTTCAGACTTAAGTGTGTTTTTTCAGCCTGCAAAATCGCTACTGTGCTTCTGGCGTCACTTCGTCTCATAGACCAAAATTTCAGGGGAGAGATTTACTTAAATTCTTGTTCATATCTGTAGAGAGAAAAATTGTGTACTGCTCTGCACAGTTCAATTTTATAATAATAATAAGAAAACGTTTATTCGTCTCACAGTGGAGAAATCCCCAATTTACAGCAGCAAGGATAAAATGTTGATTATCTAAAATGAAAATCAGTTGTCCAGGCAAAAAAAATTCAGTGATGTGAAAGATTCATCACTAATTATCTCAAACACTTGATTTTAGTTATTGCTGCCAAGGGTGGTACAACCCATTAGTAGGTTCAGTGAGCAATTACTTTTTCACATCAGGACAGGTTGGTTTGGATTCTTTTTTTTGTGACTTTAATGAATGAAATTGGCATTTAAAAACTGCATTTTGTAATTCCTTGGGTTGTCGCTGTGTGATATTAAAATTGGTTTGATGCACTGAAATCTTTCTGTGTGATAAATATGCAAAGAACACAGAAATCAGTAAGGGGTCAAATACTTTTTCATGGCACTGTACCCGAAATCGTCTGTACCAAGAGCTGCTGAGCATTTAAATCAGCTGTGAGGTTGCACTCCATATAACATGATGACAACTATGTGTTGATCGTACTTGATGTATTTATGAAACTTGATTATCCCTGTCCACAGCTCCCCTTTCCTGTGTTTGATTGTGTCACACAGGTGCATACCAAATTGCCTCCTATGGACAGTAAAGTTCCATTGGCTAACAATATTGAACCGAGAGGAGATTCATCTGCTTTCGATTATTTATACAGAAAAAAAAAATCTAAGTTCAAACAAATTGGAGGTGGCCCAGCTTCCTGATTAAATTCGACCTTGACAGTGCCACCCTAGTTAAAGTGTTGGGGAACAACTGTCTACCATCGGCCGTCTGCAGCTTTCACACGACTGACATATGAGACGAAGGGATCCTGTAGGCATGGTATGTTTACCTGCTGGCTGAGCTTTTTCAGATAAGAGATGACACTGAAACTCAGACCACAGTCCATGCTGTCTCCTATTAAATTTGGTGCCCCCATCATCCTCAGGGCTTTTTTCAAAGGCTGTCAAAAGACATCAGAGAAAATTCAAGATGTTGTTTTTTGCAAGAACGACAGCAATAAAATCACACGTAAGCCGCAGAAGGGCTGACGGTGACTTACCAAGAGGTAGTACGGGGGCATCGTCTTTAGGTACATCTCCAAGGCTTGTCGCCACTTGAGGTTTGGTTTTAATTTGTGCACTTTGAACAAGTCATCTGAGAGCAGAAAATAAAGAGCACTGAGCAGCCCAATTGACCTTCAGTTCCTCGTATACTGTTAAGGCTGTTGCGGGTATAGAATATTGATCTCTCTCCGCTACAACAATGTTCTGTAGGAGAATGTTGACTGCAAATGATGTCCGAATAAAATTTAATGCCTAATGCTCTGCATGATTAAAACCAGCTCACACTAAATAATCCAGGAGTTTGGATATCATTAAAAAAATTAAAAAGTATGTCTCACCAAGGAGTGGGAGGAGCACTGGGTAGTTATAAGGCATGACAAAGAGGTTCACACAAGTGAGAGTGGTGCTGGCTTTAAGGTAACCAAAAGGCTGGCCCAGGTCACTTTGCTTCCCGCTGCTGCTCACAAACACCTGAGGCAAGAGGGTGGAGGAATGTGTTATTCTTTCATATGAAGTCAAGCACGATTGTGTCAACGCATATTTGTGCATCAGATCACAAGCCACACATGATGCTTTGATAGCGAACTTATAGTTTCGGAGCTTGATCTGACAGATATGTGTGTGAATACCTACCTGCCAGCACATGTGTGGAGACTTCCTTTCCAAAATGTATTGGGTGAGAGGCGAGGGCTCCAATTCGTATTTGTCAAATGGAAGCTTGTCTATCACCATTGGCTCACAGTCCACACAGGAGAAACGCACCACAGGATGGGCAGTGCGAGGGGGCTGGGAGCAGGAAATTCAGTTTCAATAAAATTTTTCTGTGGTGAGGACAGGTGCAATACATTCACAGGCCACAACAATAGGTACACCTGCACACAATAACATCCAACCCGGGAGGAGTAGAAAAAGCTGCGGATACAAAGATAGTATTGTTCAGCTTTGACTGACACTCTTCAATAAGTAGTAATTTAACAATCTATTTAACTTCGTGGTTGTAGTTTGCAGGAAGCTGCACGGTGACAAAGTGGTCAGCGTGTGTACCCAAAAGTTGAGGTTCTGGGTGCGAATCTAAGCTCGCAAATTTCTGTGTAGTTTTCATGTTCTCCCCGTACTTGCGTGGGCTTTCTCCAGGTACTCCAGCTTTCCCCCACATACCAAAAGTAGTTATTCATTATGTTCCCCAAAGACTTAAAATGACTCAGAGATGTGAAGGTGAGTGTGAATGGTTGTTTGTAGATAACAGCCTGCGAATAGCTGGTGTACCTCAGCTCAACCGTGACCCTAATGAGGAGAACCCCTCGAGAAAATGGGTAAATAGAAAGTTCAATAGTTGCACAACATGGCAGAGGAGCTAAATATTGCAAAAATTACATGTACAGTACACTGCCTTATAATCTACAATGACAATATATATCCAAATATAATGTTAAATTATTTCTAACCATTTGAATGTACAGTACATTTATTATTTTTATTTTTGGCTTTTGGAGAGCATCTCATTAAACTCTACAGTCTACCCAACATTGTAGCCGCTGAGAGTGGAACAAGAAAATCAAAAAAAATTAAACAGCTCACAGTGAGACAACGAAGTTGCACTTATGATTTGACAAACAAGTTAGTTCTTGACAGATGTGATATCAGTAGGCAAATTCCACCACAGAAGAAAAAAAGTTCAGCAACGTGTCTTTGCTCACCAGCGTAGGAGAGTTCTGGTCCGGCCAGAAAGACTCTGGTATGGGCCAATGCCCAACTGGCACCCCTGTTTTGGGGTTGGGGCGCACATAGATGAGTTTGTGGCAACTGTGCCACAGCTGTGGACTGAAGGACGACACAGAGCGGCTTGACTCCACTGAGTTGTCTTCAAAATAAAAGAGGCCATTGTTTGGTCAAAATATTTCATGTTAATCCGTGGTTATGGATGTTTTACACGGAATTATCCTGAAACAAGAGATCTTGCCATACCATTAGTGTTATGAAGGGGGAAAACAATCTCACAACTTCTTTGTGCCACTCAAACTACATTTTTAGTTGTGCGTCGCACACCATGGACGGTACAAGATTAATACGTTGCTATGGATATGACGTTTTTTCTGTTACAGTAAAACGTAAAACAATTCAAGGAGAGGAACAGCTTTAAGTCAGGATGAAGTGTGGATCGATAAGTCACTCACCTTCCCCTATAAGAGGCGGATCTGGCCCACTTTTCTCAAAATTAATGACGACACCACTTTGAACTTTTTGGACAAGAGACTCTAGACACTGGTTCAGCATTCTTTGTGTTCGCACGCAGTACGATCGCCCTGAGACACAAACAGAATGTGTGCTTCTAACATAGAGCGAATACAAAAATAGGACCAAAAAAAAATGTCTTTGAAGACAACAAAAGAGTATGTGAGTATCTCAACCTCCTGTGACTTCACACATTTGGGTGATGGCGGACTCATCGGTGGGGACGCTGCCAAGTTGCTCGTTGTCTGCAGTCGCTGCTCCAGGGAGACGAAGTACCAGCGCGAACAACCGCTGGTCCCAACGGAAGGGCTCTTTGGTTAGCTCGCTGCCAGCCAGGGGTGAGTTCAGAGGAAGGTGCAGCTGCACAGGGGCAAAACGAAGCTTATGACATCTGCACATTTCAGATCACATGCTGGCTTCAGTGGTGCTAAGTAGAACATAGCAACGCATCAGTGCTGTTTTGGGGGATTTTTTTTTTTTACCTCCTCTGGGACACCGGAGCTGTGTGTGAGTTTGTTGCCATCAGTGATCGTGATGATTACAGAAGGCTCGAGGAAGAAGGGGTTACGGCCCTACGAAGGAAACATCCCAGAGTCATCTACAAATTTAGACAAAGTACTCAACTGTCCATCCATTTTCAATTTGCTTATCTTGTTGAGGGTGATGCCAAGGAAGTTGGAGCCTGTCCAACATGACACATAAGAGGCATTGTGTACACCCTCAAATGATCAACAGTCAAACACACAATGAGACAAACAACGATTACGTTCACACCCAACTAGGATGTGGCCATTCGTGACATGGATTGGAACCCTGGTCCCCTGTATACAAAGCTGTGAAACTGTTGACTGTTATGTCATGATATTTTAATAACTTACAACAACTTTAACAAACTTAAGTCTTATTTGCAATGATGTGCAAAGGCGCATTGGCGGGAAAGATTTCTCAACAAGGGTTGGGGGAGGGGGGAGGAAAACCCATCCGATTACTTGATTATTTGATGGAATAGTTGATAAGATAATCGATTCTAAAAAGATTCCAAGTTGACAGCCCTACTCCACACAGAAAGAACCGCTATCCCAACTGGAACCATGTCATTGTGATGGGGACTGTTGGAACAATGTCGACAAATATATGAGCATCAAGTAAACAATAAAATGCTGGCTATGAAAGGTGGCCGTTGTTTCTTTGTGACAGAATTACTCCGTTCACAGTTCCAGAGGCTCTGTGTTACGTGCACAGAGGCCACCATGGCTGCCCTGTAGAGGTCAGCCTTGTCTTAATGCAACACAGACAGAATGCTTAAGGAGATTTTCACACTCCTGAACTGGTATGACTACTTCAGCATCGTAATCCACCCGGCCCCTGTCAGAGGAAGAGATGCAAGACAGGAGTGAAGAATATGAAGCCAGATGGAATGGATTAGAATTAGATGTCTCCTATGAATAAAGCCTATCTTCAAGCTTTTACGCTGATCAAATCCTTCACTCAAGCACCAGGCTAAGTTCAAGTGGATATGGGAAAATGTTCTTCTCAAATTCAATCAATGTATAGCACTAAGTGTAAAGTTTGTAAAAAAAAATGTATTATGGACACACTGGCCAGCATAAGTACATCTGCAAAATCGAATAATTTCCAATACAAAAGCTGCAAAATTAAACATCTGATATCACCATGAGTCATGTGGAAGGCCACATTACCATAACACACATTGCCTGTACAGCATACATGGCATCTGTAGAGATTAAGTCCACGGAGGAGTTTCAAGAAAAGGAATTGGATTTATTCCAAATGGGACAATCATAACTGAGTAGTGTTTAAGGACAGGGGCTGTAATCCAATTATAGTATCCATCCATGTTTTCAAGAATGCATGAATCCTTCTCATGTCACCAATAGCATCGAAAATATACTGCATTTAAACAAATAGCTTTCAGTATGACGCAGTGCAGTTTTATCCCACTGCAACCAAAATACTCAATTTACTGAGAACCTAGTTGATCACATCAGTCAAAAACTGATGATTAGTTTTATCAAGCCCTTTCTGAAGACGCCTGTGCGGATTTTCCACTTTTCTCCGGAACCAACAAATAGAACTGCAGTAGAGGACGACGACATCACATACTTTACCTGGCCATAATTGTCGATGCCTGAGACAAGGCGGTTAAGGTTAAGCAGGTCAAAGGCTGTGCGGAGAGCGTGGCCTAATGTCGTCAGCCCAGACGCCTGCAGGTTCTTCAGCTCACACATGAAGGTGGCGTGGTTTTCCTTCCACCCTGCCTGCAATACAAAGAGCAATGAGGCTGAGCACAGCAGAGCAAGAATAAACATAAACACAGAGAAACATGTGGGATTTATTCCGAAAGAAAAGCGGCAAGTAGAGCTTTTTCCACAGACTGATATCTAAGCACTCAACATTTTTCAAGACATGACAAAGACCATTAGATGAGACAACGTTTTCAAATAGGCAATCATACACATAGACATATCCCCACTGAAGCGTCCATGTCAGTGATTGCCAACCTTTACTGAGCCAAGGCACATATTTTAAGTTCGAAAAATCGCATGGCACACCACCAAACAAATATGTCAATTTCATACTTTTTGCCATTGAATAGAAAATCAACAATGATACATTATTTGTGATTCATAAATAATTTTCTCACCAATTAACTGAAATTTGATAAGTTCCCGTGGCACACCGTTGGAGCTCTCACGACACACTAATGTGCCACAGCACACTGGTTGGATATCACTGGTCTAAGTTCCTACAAAAGAGTCCAAAAATACACCTCCCACTGCTGTCCCTCTCTGTGAAGGATACATAGACACATACAGTAATCCTACGGGAGAGGATGTGGGTGTGGAGCTACTCTTGGACTTTTTCTCCAGTGAGGTCAAGTACTTCAGTGCTGCAGCTTCATGCTTCATCTAAGGATGACCTGCAAGATTACCACTTCCAATGTTGAAAAGGGAGGGGCAGAAGAGAGCTTGAAGTGCCAGTATCAACGTGTTTTCTTAGAGCATAGTTCAGCGAGAGTAGAGTAAGAGTGGAAAACTAGGATGTAGGTGGGATCCCATTGTGCTTGCATGTATGATATTAGGTCATTTGAACCACAACGCTGAGCTACTGAGCCAGGCATACAGTACAGCAGCTACACCCTTGTGTAGGCTGGTAGACATATAAAGCCTTGCTTGCACTCAATAATTCAGACGACAGAATATTTTTATTTTCTTTCCACCCAGCAGCCTCTCTCTCCTTCTACATCAACAATTTATTGCCTGTGTAACGGCACAATTGGAGAAGTCCCATGCAGTAAAATCGTGTCCTTCCATTACAATCATCCATGCACAAATCAGGCGCATAAAACATAAGTTCAAGTTCAAGTTTAAGTCCACTTTATTGTCCAATGTGCTCTATGTACAACATACAGCACAAATGAAATTTCTTTCCTCTCAACCACAAGAGAGAGAGGAACCGCTGCGGGTAAGGGAAGAGGACAGAAAAAAAAAGAGCAAGGATACATCTTTCTGTGCAAATTTCTCCTCTTTCAAAAGAACTACAAATATATCCGCAATGAAACCATTATCTGTGGTGCGGGTGACATGTAGCATCACAGCACCATTCAAAAATACTGGTGCAAAAATTAGTGTGCAAACGATTTGGAATGTTGTGCCAAAACAACAGAATGGTCAAATTTTGGGATTGAGAAAATAGTAAATAACTGTGTAACCATGCAATTAACTAGTTTTGCAAGTGTATTGACATCTGTTTTGGCAATAATGCTAACTGGATTAAGTACCCAAAAAAAAAGAAGACTTTTTTTAATGTTCCATTTGTCAATGTCCTGGTGTTAATATGCGTTGAACTGCATTGGAATGCTCTTTCAACATGTGTTAATATTGTCCTTTTGTTGTAAACCTCTTTCAGTTGGTGCCACACACAGATAGGATGTAAATTCATCTGGCAAGAAAACCCACAGAGTCAGGTGCCAGGTTATAAAACATGTCAAACAAATGACATGTTGAGTGGCTCTGTAATAACTGTAGTGTGTCACAGGTTGCATTAATATTTGTCCATGATCCAGGCTTTTATTAACTTATTTTTATTATTTTTTTAACGACACATCAATTGTAAATGGCAGACGCTTAGGGAGATTGCCGGGCATTCATTTGAATGCAATATGTTGAATGCAATATGTCAACACTGATGAGTCCCTCGGAATATCCATCACACAATGATGCGTGAGAGAGATGACGGTGAAGGAGGGGCGGGTATGATTGTGTACTGAACACAGTGCTCGCAGTATCGGTATGAAAAATAATCATCATACAGTATATTGTTCCATCGCACTCAAGTCCAGTGAAGGCGGTTTATCAACTTTCAGTCCATGTTTGACCAATGGTTATACGCCAATAGGGCAAGGGGCAGGGTTAACGATGACTGACGGCTTCGTTTGCCAATGAGGACAGTGCACTGTGAGGGGGAATGTGATGTCACGGCAGATAATAAATTTCTACGCCTCCATCTCAACGCCCGAGAGTTTTCGCTACACAAAAGCAAAATGTCCGCTGGATGTAAGGAGGCTGCGATGCTCTGCTTCTGCGGATAGCGCGAACAAATAAATTGCCGCTGTTTTGCTACCGGAAGGCCACCGAATGCTGGCAACGCACCAGACGGACAATAAAATCCCACGAACAGAAAAACAACTTGGGCTGGCAAATGTATCAATTGTATCAGTTGCTAATTACCTTCACTCCGTATGGTGGATCATCGAATGTAACTAGCATGTACCTGTCGCCTCTACTAGCCGGGTCTCGGGCACGCAGCTGTCAAAAAAGGAAAACCAAAACAACATATATTAATTTCGACCGATTTCGCCCAAGGAAGCCGACGCTCGCCAAAGGTGCACACTTGCTGAGGGGGAAAAAGTCGGGGTAAAAGCGTTCGTTACCTTCATAAAGACCTCAACCGCGCCTTTAGCAATGTCCAGATACGTCGTACCCAAATAAGTGCGCTGATTCATAGAGGCGGACGTGTCTAACAGGAAAACTAAAATAGGCATTTTAAATGTAAAGCTGGGGTTGTATGCTTTTTTTTCATTAACTGTTATCCACATATGACCTATAGTACGGCCAAGCAGGTCACACGTGCGTATATATTTGTTATAATAAGCCCCCCCTCCAGAAGAGGGCCGCTGCCTCTGCCCTCCCTCTGTCCGCCTTCTCAGTGTTCTGGCTCGGCTCGCGCTGTTCAACTTCTGTTCCCAACCAAAAGGAACGCCCCCTGCCTCCAGCACGACGTCATTGGCTCAGCGGGCCTGCTATGGACACGCCCCTCACGTGCCACATCTATATAAACGAGCAGCAGCAATTGGGTTGACGTGGTAGTGTTCGTTCTATACAAGTAAAACTGTGTCCTACACAGTGACGGTAGTTTGTCTCCTGTGTCGTAAATGCGTAATGGTTGTAACAGTAAATATAAATGGATTACGTTTTTCAGGATCCACTTATATATATATATA